GTGTGTGTGTGTGTGTGTGTGTGTGTGTGTGTGAGAGAGAGAGAGAGAGAGAGAGAGTCAAAACTAAGCAGGATCACATGGTTTTCGTTCAACATCGGCTGATGACGTACGTACTAAGAAAGCACAGCAAACAAACTATAAATTAGAATTCTCAGCAAAAATAAAAATAAAAAATCGGACATATCAACAGGACATCATTTCCTCAGAAAAGTGCAGAGTTCTGGGACTGCAACTTCGTGGGTAATTGCACAGTGAAATACAAAATAGAAGATCCTCCCATGGAAAACCACGAACAATTGGTATTCTACCCTGTTTTCTTGCAATCTGCAGCGGGTCATCCAGGTTTTGTTTTTCCTTAGCTATAAAATTACAAGTACTTCTGACGGGAACTCACCAAGTGGTCGTTCCTCAGTTGAGATGACTGTCTGTTTTCTCACCGTAAATATCCAAAGAGGTTTTAGCAGCCTGAACTTTCCGGGAAACCTTCTTGCTTGTACTGATCATTTTTCGCTTGAGGAGGTCACAGTTTGAGATGGATGGATTCCACGTGTTCTGCAGGAAAAATCAGATCCAGGAAAGGTCGTCTGGAATGCAAATGACACGCAATATAAGTTGACATTGGACGATGTAGGGCATTTCATTTCATTCCGATGCACTCCTAGGAGAGAGGACGGGATGGAGGGGGAGAGCAAAGTTGCAATGAGCTTAGAGGTCGTTCAGGCAGGTAAGAGCTAATGTCAACAGAAGAATCCACATGCTTGGCAGGCTGCCATTCCCCGCTCATCGCTCCTCACGAATTGTGACTGTTTTATATCCAGAAACTTGTCAGACCTGTAGTTCATGCTTCGTGGTACTCATCTTAGGATGTATCCTTATGAAAGCATTAAAAATTAAAGAAACGAGGATGCGATTTGCGGTCCCTGTTAGTATGTTGCTGACCTCAGACATGAAATTCCCTTGAGAAGGACAATTCCAATGCATGGATCCACCTGTTTTGCCTAAAATGACAAAATCAGCATAGTAGCATGCCCTTTCAGTGTTTGGGCCTCAACAATGATCTGACTATCTGAAAAACATTTTACAGAATAAAAAATAAGGATGTCATTTTTGGTAAGCAGAACTGGCGATGCGTGATGAACCGAAAGTCGAGTCAACTGAAAGTCGAGCTAACCAAAAACCAAGCTATGGTGCCAAACTGCGCAAAAGAGTGGAAAAAGAAGGATGCCATTGGCTTTCCCCATTAGTATGTTACTAAGTTCAGTCATCCAATTCCTTCAGGAAAATAACTCCAAACTTCCAAAGTGTAATCCAGATGAAACAAAAAGAAAAACCATCGTACTCTTTCAACCTTTGCGCTTTGGCAATGCTCTGTCTATTGGAGGAATTCCAACCAACATCCAGACCTCCGGTCAGGCATGTGAACTGTCGAGATGACGGTGTTTGGATGTGTGGGAGGGAGAAAAGGACCAAAAAACAGTGCTGTTAAAGACCGTTGCGCTAGACTTACCGACTCGTCAGGAGGCATATCCCTTGTCAGGGTGTCTTTTATGTTAATTTATTTATGTTTAAACCACCAGTACTTGGCCCAGCTATCGGCCGCGGCCCGCAGCGCTTCCCCGTTAACGCACCGCAAAATTTGGGCTTCGGCCAACCGGACCACATTGGCTGTAGGCCGCCAGCCAACACGAAAACAGAAAAGCGCCGCAGCGGTTCGGTTAAACTTGGCGCGCAGGGTCGATGAATGCTCAGCTTCGATAGCTGGGCCAAGTACTGGTGGTTTAATGTTCAAAAATATGAAATATAATATGATTTTACTGATTTATTAAAAATACACTTTTTTAATTGAACCATCCATAGCTGCGAAGCATACTTGCAACCGCAGGGGCCGCACATTCGTGCGGAGTTCCGTGCGGGGGGTGCCTGTGCGGAATTGTGCAGGTTTTTTTATTTATTATTAATTTATTATTATTATTTTTTTTTTTTTGGGGGGGGATCGGGGGGCGTATGACAGGAAGATGGGGATATGGCGAGGAGAGGGGGATATGGACGAGGAGGACGATGAGGATAGCGAGGACGACGAGAGGGAGTCGTCGAGACGGGGGAGGAGAAGAGATGGACGGAGGGAAACGAGGAAGGGCAGGGGGAGGACAAGTGGGAGGGGGAGACACGGACGGCGAGGAAGGAGAGGACACGAGGAAGGGGAGGTGACGAGGAGGCATGGAAGATGAGGAAGTACGAGGAGGAGGAGGAGACAAGGAGGATGAGGAAGGGCAGGAGGAGGAGGACGAACAGGAGGAGGACGAGTCGGAGGAGATGGAAAGGAGAAGGGAGGAGGAGACAGGGAGGATGAGGAAGGGGAGGAGGAGCAAGGTGAGGCAGCACTCCCGTAATTTTTTTTTCATCCCGCTTATAACTTTGGCGGCGGGTCTCAAACACACTGTATCAACCCCGCCCTTCTTTTTTTTTTCCTGAGGGGGGTGACGAGTCGTTCCCTGCACACGTTGTGCACCGCACGGGATCGGTTGGGCGCGTGCGTCGCACTTAGGGAACCCCCCGCACGACGTGCGCTGGCAAGTATGCTATGAAGTCCTTTTCCTAGTGTTTCAAGCCATGATTAGCCTTGACCGTATATCAGAGCAGACCTGAAGCGACAAGACCAATCAAAATCGATGTATTTTATTGTTAAAGTCAAGAAAGTAGTCCATTTTTCGTACTTAAATTGTGTTGCCCTTTAACATGGAGAAGACTACACGGGATTTTAGTGGCAGCCGGTGGAGTTCTCTGTCTGCTCTGTGTGGGTGATAGTCTCCTTGGCCGCAAATCAAAGCAAACTATCACCCACCCACCCAGGCTGAAGACGGCAAAGACTTTTGGGGACAGTCTGTGGAGTCTTCCTCAATGTGGGTGGGTGATAGTCCATGTTTTGCTTGGCTGTCAAGGCTGATATTGCTTGAGGCCGGTAGGGGGGTCAACAGACTATCGAATATGTGTTGGTGCAAGTCAGGCGAACCACTCTGTCACCGCCCCAAACAGTCTGTCGAGGTGTGAGTGGGTGAGAATCCCCTTTGATTTTGGGTCAAGACTGATAATGGCTTGAAGAATCCTGTACACACTCTCGAGGATTCACCTTCCTGATCAGCCTGTGAAGGTTTGCCGAAACAGTTGGGGCCTGGCTTTAGGGGGCTATACAGACTCTAGAGGTCACCTGGCAGTTCGAATTGTCCATTTGATCAGGTGTTTATGACTGACATTGCAGTATTCATCAGGTGCACTGTCTGTCCTGAATGAGTTTCCTTTGGTCTTTGATTGGAGTGGAGGCGAAACAGTCTAGTGGCTCCATAGTTCACCCTGCATTTTCAATTGTCTATTGGATGTCTTTCTTTCTCGACTTGCAGTGGATTATTCATTCCCCTGTTAGTCACACCCACTATCCATTCTCCGCGACTTTCACCTGGACTCTGATTGGATTGTGGTTGAAGTAGAGAAATCTGCATCCGCATGCTGCCTAGTGAAGATCGAATTCCATTGAGAAGGAGCAATAGTGGCTTCATAACCTCTGTAGAGGACGCTACAGACTGTCTAGAGTTCACCCGGCATTTTCAATTGTCTATTGGATGTCTTTCTTTCCTGACTGGCAGTGCACTATTCATTATCCTGTTAATCACTGCCCACTATCCACGCAGTGCACTATTCATTCTCCTGTTAGTCACACCCACTATCCATTCTCCATGAGTTTCATCTCGACTCTGATTGGATTATAGTTGAAGTAGAGAAATCTGCGTCCCCTGGCTTCACGAGTAGAGGTCTACATGTCCCTTCATCGTTGTAACTGAGCCACCTTCATGGAAGGCCTACCCCCATGATGTTCGAAGCGGCTGTCCACAAATCTGTGCATAAGCCTCCTGTTCATTGTGTGTTGAAGGACTCTTTTCATGCTATAAGTGACTAATGAAACGAGCCAGCGCTAAAAAGGACCGCCCCTTCTGGCCTCTTCTCAATGAGGTTACCATGTTTAATGGGAGAATGGATATGTTTCAAAAGAATCAAAACCACTGAGAAACTCTAGGGTCTCAGTATGTGAAGTCTGTGCCTTCTGTCAATTGTCTTGACTTTCCCCACTACTTGTTTGTCCCTTTGTGCGTTCATAGCTGATCCCACCATAACTTCCTTGAGAGTCCGTGGAAATGCTATCGAAGGCGCTGAGCTGGTTGCAGAAAAGGAGTACTTCGGAGGGCATGAAGGGGATTCTGTTTACCAATGGTTCATGGTAAGCAGCTGTGCCAACTCGCCTTTCATGTTGTCTTGATTTTTTCACGGAAAGGTCTGGCTTGCCACACATTTTCAATGTCGATTCTCCACTTAACCGGAACTTAAGATGCTATTGCATAATTTCGATTACTTGGTCTGATAGGAGAGGGTGATTGGGTCTGCCTAGGAGGCATGGGATGTCCCTACACTACTAAAATTGCTAAGGGAACCAATCTTTCATCCAGGCCGTCATCGGTCCTACTGGCCCGCGGGAAACATGTAATAAATCTCAGAGAGAGAGAGAGAGAGAGAGAGAGAGAGAGAGAGCAATCTAATAAACCACACGTCCCGCTCTGCTGGCCCCACCCCCCCCCACCCCCACCAAAACGATCTTATGTGGTATATATTATGAACTTGGTTGTCTGACGACTTTTACCGCCACTCACACACAGACAGTCTCATAAAACGCCCATACATGCATAAGAGAAGGGGGAGAGGAGACAGAGTCCACACTGCACACAGATCAAAGTAGATAGCGGAAGCACAACCATGCACAGATGGGGAGAGGACACACAGTGTTTCTCACTCTCTGACGATACTCCCAACAACCAATCACAAGAAAGAACCTGCGAAGATAACAATTGGAATTCACACTGATGATGAGCCAAGTAACCAAAAAATTGTTACAGAGTTTGTTCCAGTATATCGCCACTCTCAGAACCTCACACTCCACTCAATACCCTACACCCAGTTAGTAGCGCCACATCAGAATGGCCTCCCAGAGGCCAGCGCCAACCACCCAGATGAAGAACAGATCCTGTGATGAAGTCTTCAGTGCCGCTGAACAACTCTGACGAAGAACCGGCAGCTATGGCTGCCGCCACCCACATAGACTAAGTGAGGAGTCTCCACACAGCCAAGCTGCTCGCAGAAACCCACAGGGGTTGATGCGCAGGGGATGCCCCAGCTATGGCAAGCCCTGAACAGGCTGGCTATGGCTGCTGTCCACGGTGAGGGTCTCAGGGTACCGCCTGCAGACAATGGCCGTTGCAATTGCAAAACCTCCTTGGCTCCAAAAGCCGTCTCCCCAAAATGAACTGCCAAAAAGTCCCAAACAGTCCTACACTAACCTGGTACGAAACTGGTCCTACTGCTGCACTTAGGGCTCAGGGCCACTTAGGGCCAGTACCCAGTCAGCCCCATACTATTGTTAGTCCTAGCTATTTTTTGAATAGCGGGCGGCCGTCAGTGCAGACCAAAAAACACAGCAAGCACACAGCACACTGTACAACCTCGCAAGTTAGTCTCGGCAGTCGAAATCAGCAAGTCATTGCATATATGCTCCTATCATTCTCATATCTGATCCGTGATCCATTGAGACCTTCAAATAAGAAAAAATAAAATGCACGCCTGCGTGCACGAAGTGCAGGCGTGGGGGAGAGAGAGAGAGAGAGAGAGAGAGAGAGAGAGAGAGAGAGAGAGAGAGAACCGCCAATCTAACTAGCTATGAGCCACCCACCCACCCCACACACACAATGAAGTCTGGTATCTGCCCCAATCCGTTTCAAATCCGATGAAGTGTGGTCTGTGCTCCGATCAGTTTTCAAGTCCGATCCGTGGTCCATCAAGACCCTTATATGAAAAGGACAAAAAGACTGCGGACGCAGAAGTGCGCGCGCGTGCGCGCGCGAGAAAGAGAGAGAGAGAGAGAGAGACACCAATTTGGCTTACTACGCCTTAACCCTCCCGCCCCACATGATCAAGTGTAGTATCTGCTCTGATCAATTTCAAATTTCATCCGTGGGCCATCAAGTCCCTTAAAAAAAAAAAAAAAGCATGCATATCGCTGACGCATGCCGCTCGCGTGCACGCAAGCGAGCGAGCGAGCGAGCGAACGAGCGAGCGAGAGAGAGAGAGAGAGAGAGAGAGAGAG